ACTTGATGTATGAATTTAAACTTCAGCTTGCATGTTGCTGTTTTATAATGGTCTTTTCCTTCATTTATTCACTAAGGCTTTGCTTCTGTTTTTCTCATTAGGATGACAGTTCTGGCAGTCTTGCGTCAATATCTGCTCTCAGTCTGTTAAACACAGGGGTATGGAATTTAATATGTTTTTTTTTTCTAGTTGTATTCAATGCCATGCATGGGACTATGTAGCACTCATTAAAAATAGAACAAACATCGCATTTTCACAGTAGCATGAATATTTTATGGCACTAACCATCAACTCATTAGATACCATTAGTAAAAAAAAAAACCAAACAAACTTTCACACATAAATCTCACTAACAACTTCAAGTGATAGAGTATTGTTTATTAACATACTGCATGTTCTTGAATAGCAGAAGGTAGAGTAAATTACTGTCAAGTTCTAGCATTACCTTTGCTTGTTGTGCATCCTACTTAATGGTAACAGTTGTTAAAATGACTTAAATCTTTATTTTTGAACACTGTATAAATTTGACAAATTGATATCCTCTAGAGTTTTTCCCATCTCTAAGTCACATGAGCAGTAGCACTTCAGAATTCCAGATGCTTTTAATCATACTTTCCAGTATAAAACTGGAACTGTAGAAAGGTGCAGCTGTTGAAACTTTTGTTATGTGGTGTTATATCTTCCATTTGCTGTGACTGGTTTTGCTTCTGAAATTGGTCCAATGCATCTGCCTCTTTGAAAAATCTTCAGTAATCCCACGGTTGATGTTAAACAGGAATAGCACAACTTTGCTGCTTTTCATTCTGTGGATCTGTTACTGTATGTGAAATAGAGCAGTAATGTGACTGCTCACTGATATATGATGCCTGTGGTTCATGTTACATGGTTCAGGTTCTCTCATCTCTTCTTTATTGGGCACAGAAGCCCATACCTTCGTGTGTTTTTGTAAGCAAATAGAGATGAAACTTGATGCAACTTATGAAAAATCCATTTGAGGAAAAATAAAGTAAGTTAAAGATGAGAAATGGATGATGTTATTTGGAAGGTTGTTCTAGAAACTTTTCAGCATCAGTTTGGTTGTTCTCTCCTATTATGTGAGACATGGTATTCTTCCCTGTCTGTAATCTGAAAGTAAGAAACAAATGTTCTGTTTGTCTGAAAGCATCTGCTTTCTTAGTTCTGAAAAAAATACCTAGAGCATGACTTGAGAATCTTTCTGTGGTATCTGTTCTTGCTATAAACACCATCTTGTTTTTAAGCGTCTTACAGCCAATTGAGGTTCAGTAATTCTAACATACAACTTGGAGATTGGTGTGCAAGAGGTGGTCCTTATGCATTAAGCAGAATTTCTGCTTAAATAACTTAGTTACCAGTTTTACCAAAATGACGTAGGGTGCCTTTCTAAGAGACTCAATTTTGAAAGGGAATTTAAAAAGCTGCAAATTGGAATATCTTTATCATAAGCACAGAGGCAGATCTATTAGCAAAAAACTTCCTGCCCCATTTACCTATTACCTGTCTTTAGGTTAATAGGCTTATCTGTATTTCAGTAGGAATAAATACTGGAAATTCTAGTCTGTCTGCATATCAGAGTGCTCTTACTAAGTTGTCATAATGTTTTTCAGGAAAAACATGCTTTTAATTTGTTTGCAGCTTTATGAACGGCAGTAGATGAGAAGATGCAGTTCTGGTATTAATAAGGAGACAATTAAAAATGGGTGATATCTAGATTAGATATTAGGAGGGAATTTTTTACTCAGAGGATAGTTGGACACTCTCTGTGGCCCGGAGAGCTGTGGATACCCCATTCCTGGAGGTGCTCAAGGCTGTGCTGGATGGGGCCTGGGACCCTTACCTGGTGGAGGGCACCCAGCCCATGGCAGTGGGGTAGGACTGCATGGGCTTTGAGGTCCCTTCCAACCCAACCATCCTGTGATTCTGTGAGCTATTTTTGCTTGCTATTAAAGCTGACATTTATTTTTTATCTATTTTGAGATAGGCTGCAATGAAGAATTTTTGGGAACAAAATTACTTGTTGTGGTACATGTAATCCTTCCAAAATGGTTATTTTTTATCCTGTGAGCATGTCTTGCAACTCTTGAATCTTAGCTGTCAGTTGTTCTATCCTGTGGGCGCTATGTCCTGCATCTTATGTTCTTGCCTTGTCAGGTGTTCTAAATTGTATTTTTTCCTTTGAAGTAAAATTCTGTGTCAGCTCTAGCTTTATATTCAGTGCTGAGAATTTCAGATCCTTTATCAAATGCTTATTGGAATCTCATAAGTCTAGTAATACAAGGAGAAACCCATTCCAAAAAAAGGAAAGAGTATTTCAGTTGCTCAAGTTAATGAATTTCATGCATGTTTGAAGATTCTTGGATCTAATCTTTCATAGTAGATATGTTTCTTGAGCAAGAAGCATCTTTCCATGTGGAGCTTCTGATATTTGGAGAATGTTTTGTCTAGGGAAATGTACAACCTTGACAATTTGAGGTTGAAGTTATTCTGGTGGCTGTTTACTAGTAATGCTTAGAAATTCCATGCTACAAAAAAACCGAATGTTTGTAAAGCATCTTTAGTTCCAGTAGCACAGTTGGATAATAACTTCTGCCTTATGTGGAAATCACTGAAGATTTTTATGCCTTTTCTCACCTGTTTCTTACCTGTTACTTTTGATAAGTGTGTCAGTACCTAGCATATATGACAGCCAGATATACTAGTATCATTCAGATGTCTAGCTTGTAATTAGATGGTGAGAATGACTTGGTTTCTTATGGCTTTCTGGTGCTTTTAATTTAACTTATCTTCCTTCATACCTAGTTCTCATACAAAAAAGAAAAAGTTGGTTCCAGCTCAGCTTCTTCATCTCTGACTGCTCAGTGAACTTAATTTTGTTGCTCCTGTGACAAAGTTCTGGAAAGTGTAAAATTCAGTCAAGAATTTGAGAGATGGGAAAGCTACTGCCCTTCAGCGGTTTGGGACTAGTTCTTCAGCACTGCAGGCTGGGTGCTGGCCATGGGCTGCTATCACTCCCAATTAAGAATATGCTAGAATAGCCTGAGGTATACAAGGTGGATGGAGTTCCTGTAACGTCATATGGTTTGAGGTGGAATTAAATAATTTTAGGCTCTTAAAATATGCATGTTCATTCAACAGTGAATTTTGAACTTGTTAATTTTTCTCATGCTTGAGTTACAAGAGAATTAATACCAGTTATTTAAATCCAATTGCTGAAGATATTTGTTTGAATGCGCCAACTGATATCGGATGCATATTGTTTTCAATAAAGTTGTCTTAGGAATTACCCTTCAGGAGAGGATTTTGTTGTAGGAAATCTGTACCACCTATTGCACATGGCTGTACCACTGAGAGCAATCTGGGCTTCCTCTGCTCTCTGAAGCCTTCTGGGCGGACCTATCAAATACTGGGCTGGGAAGCTCCTTGGGAATACTGGGTGCTGCCCCTCTCCTGAGCATGTGTGGGGCTTCCGTTCTTGGGGCTGCTCAGAACATGGCTAACAAACACCTTGCACAGCCTTGCTTTGAGTGGGGAGCTGGGCTTTGTCCTTTCCATCCTCACTGATTCTGTGGTGACTTTCTCTTGTGGGGAGCTTAGGCCCAATGTGGAAGAACAGAAATTTTATCTGAGATCGTTAAAATAGGTCGGGTAAGAAGGCTGATGGACAGAAAACTTCAAGCCACCTTAAAAAGAATTAACTTTGTCTTCTCAGGAAATCTGAAGCTGTGTTATCATTTTTATAAGAGGTATTTTCCCGTTTGTCTTCATGGACTTCAACTGTGTAAAGAGCTTTAAGATATTTAAAATTGTCAGCTATGTTTGTTTAATGCTGTCAATGAACACTGGACATGTAAAGTCCTCTGCTTGTTCCTGGAAGAATAAATATGTATGAAAAACTATGCAATAGGTGAGAGGAACAGTTGTTATAGAAAAATGTTTGGTTGGGAAGGTATATGACCGAACTAGTAATCTGTTTGTATTTTTGGTGACTTAACTTGAAAGTACTTTACCAAAATACCTTGAATTTGTTTTCTTTAGAAGATATTATAATATTCTGTTTGAATTCCAGCACACAGAAGATGTGTAGTGAACCTATCTGTCTAATCTTCATGCCTAAGAATATGAATCCACAGGCTACCTTTGCTTGGGAAGAAGCTAAAAGTCTTCTCACAGACAAACTTTTATATTCACTTAACTGTAAGAATGGTAACTATAAGAATTGGCAGTATTTTTGTTTATTTACAAGGGCTATTAAAGAGGGAATACATAATTTTTGAGATTTTCATTTGGCTCTGCTAAGCCTTTTTCCTAAGGACTACCTCATTTGTATTTCCCTGAGATTCTCTGTGGAAAAAGGAATAGTTTTTTTTTTTTTTTCTTCCTTAATCTTCTGTGTATTAAAGACTCTTAAATTTTTTTCAAGTAGACTGCATGTTTTTACTTCTGAGGAAAGAAATGACATGAAACAGACTATAATTCTAAATATTGTTGTCACTGAGTACAGAATAGATGGTTCTAGGTAACGGATTCAGTGGTCTTGGTAAAGACTTCATAAACAAGAAGGGTACCACATCATAAGGAGAGCTAGAAACAAGAGGAAATAAATGGTAACATACGTTGTTGGTTAGTGTTTTTTTACTCAGCTTTGCAGATTGTTTAAATGTACTTGCTCACTTACTATTACAGGAAGATTATGCAGGTTTTCTAACTATAACTCACCCCTAGGTGTTCTGTAGTAACATTGACCTAGGATAGATTAAAGATTAAGTTGATAGAAGAAACTGACTTCTCAGTCACTTTTATTTAGCAGTTCTGGAAAGCTGCATTGTCTTGCTATACATAATTTCAATTTGTAATGTTAGCTCCTTGCTGTCTTAAGTGATTTGATGTTATATATATAAATATTACTAGTAAGTGTTATTCTCACTAGGTTAGAAGGGAGTCTGAAAAGTTGAAATTACATTTTTATCAATAATATTGTTTAGGAATATGAAGCACGGACAGGAAGAATGTATAAGCCTCCACCTCCATCAGCAAGACGTAAAAACATTGAGTTTGAGCCACTTTCAACTACAGCTTTGATTCTGGAGGATCGACCAGCGTATGTATAACTCTGCTGTGGATCTGATGTTGACTGAATTTGTTAGATGTGAAGCTTATCTATGAGCATAATTCTTACACAAAAGCATGTGTATTATTCCATCCAACATAACAAACTAACAAATATCTCCAGAAGAACCTGCAAGTATATGAGAGTATATGCGAAATTTTCTTAACAAAATGGAGGTCACTGATAAGTTATCTGCTGTGTACTGGGACAGTGTTGTAGGCACCCTTTATCAGGAAAATTACTGAAGACTTACAGATTTCTTCCCTGCCATCTTAGTGTGCGCTCCCTTCTCCTTCGCTCTTTCTGGACAATTACTTTCCTAGATCAGTAGGGAAGACTTAATAGTGGCAGTTAGCACCTCAGCAAATTTGGAGGTGGCTTACCAGAAAAAGAAGTATTGGGTAAGTAATAACAGGGGTAGAAAGAATTGCTTTTGAAACACAAAAAAATAAAAAATGAGTATTAAGCATTTCTAACATGAAGGTACTTGGCCAGTATAGTTAACTGCTTTGTTGGTACCAAGATAAGGAGTTCCTTAAAACAGTTCCTTGCTGTAGTTATGTTCTCTGGGCTACTTAAAAATACAGTTGAATGCAACAAAATGGGAACTGTTGATACAACAAAAACTGCATTAAATACAAATGAGAACAGTAATGCAAAAAGAGTAATGCATTGTTCAGTCTGTTCAGCTATATTGCCTTCAGCAGTCTGAAAGAAAGAGGAAGACAAGGTGACTAGGAACACATGCTGTGAGGGAAGCAAATAAATCAAAGCTTTCAGATTACACCTTGAGAAAACTTGTGATGGCATTTGTTTGCTTCAGTTAATTTCAGTTAAGGAATGGCAATTGGAAGTGGTTTCGTGGAGATTCTTTCAAGTGGTGCACAAGCTTCTTCAATGCTAAGGCAGAAATATCTTGACAAATATCTTGAACAGGGGTGCAGATTTGTATAAAATTTTGTAAATGCATTATTTCCTTTGTCTCTGTGGTAGAGACAAAGACAGTAACGGTATGTGTCTAAGAAAAATAGGAGTGCTATTCCAAGTGTATAGCATGTTGTCATGTCATTCTTGAAAATAAGTTCTGCTTTCAGTTAATTCTGACATTTTAAGAAAATAATCAGTTCTACTTGTAAAAAAAAAAAAATATATATATATATAGAGAGAGAGAGAGAGAGAGAGAGAGAGAGAATCTTTTTTTCTGGCAATCAAGATCACTGTGCAACTGGGGAAAAAAAAATTGAAGCAGTCTAATTGATAGTTGTGTAGCATGCATCCTTAATTTTAGCTCTGATGTGATTGGGCTCTGTCCTTTCTTTTGTAATTCCAACTTTCCTTTACCTGTTATTAAACAAAATCTGATTATGTTTAATTATTAAAATTATGGATTTTAATTATGTTTAATTATTAATTATTAAATTATTATCATATTATTATATAAATGATTACTTATTCATTATTAAAATTCACACATGCAAAAATTGATCAGAATAAATAATTGCGTGAAGAACATCAGTATTTCTATATAGCTTCATGGAAACTTCATTTGGACATTGCTTCAAATGTTCAACAAATGCAGTAACTTCAGAGACTGGTGACAGACAAGTAAGAACAAACTCTTCTAGCAATAGATTATTTTTCTAGTATCAGTTGAAAGGAAAAAGAGCTAGAAATATGGAGATCTTGGCTGTACCGCAGTGTGGCTTAAGTGTGCTTTTGTGTCCTGGCTGTGCCCTGGAGGAAGCTGTAGGACAGCAAATCAACAGAAGTAGTAAAAGCCTGGTGGTTCTGAATAAACAGCAATCTTATGCAATGGTTACTGAAGCACTGATGGTGTGACAACTCCAAAGCTCACTTTAGAGAGAAACCAAATTAAATAGGTGTTTTGAAATGGTTCAGTATGTTCTTTGTGCATACTGAATTCAGGAATAACTTGTTTTCAGAAATCTTCCTGCCAAATCAGTGGAAGAGGCTTTACGTCACCGGCAAGAATATGATGAAATGGTGGCAGAGGCAAAAAAGCGAGGTATGTTAACTGCTAATCATCACTATAGTTCTATTTAACTGTAGAGCAAAACTATCTTCTGGCTAGTAGATACAGTAAAGAACAACCTTGTTTAATATTCAGGATTATTTTCTGATACACTAGTGCATATAACTTAAAAGCCCAGCACAATTCTCAATTTTTTTTCCTGTTCCAGCACAGTGAATGTAAGTAGGTTCAAAAATCAGTTTAACTTTTTCGTTTTTAAGTGGAAATTTGATAATTTTTTTTTTAATACTTGCATAATGTGATTGTTGAAAAACTTTCTGTATGCTTGGATTCCTTTTTCAAGCAGTGTTGCTGCAGTTCTTGCTGAGAACTAAATTAGAATAAAGCTGACTGCTTAAAGATTATTTTTTTCACAGGTATTTGATATCAACTTCAATGTGAAGACAGATGACAACCTTGTTTTTCAAATCAGCTGTATCTGTGAATCTTCCTACTTTCATTAGATCTGCTTTTTAAATTAAACACATTTGTTTCATTTGGGAATGTGGCAATGCATGAATAGTTTGTTGAAAGGACTTCTGTATTCTCATGCCTGTGTTCAGGGAAAAAGCTATTTTAAGAATTCATGCTGCATATTTTACTTGGGCTGTTGTCAGTCAGATATAAGCTCCTGAATTCATTGAGCCTCTATGGATCTGTAACAACTTGCTCTGAAAGATGTAATGAGAAATCCAAGGCATATGACAATGTAAATACACTGCAAGAGAAGAGTGAAATCTGGTAAAGTATGAGCTTTGAAAGCCCAGTGATGTGTAATGTTTTAGTATGTGTGCCCTAGTATTCATTAAATTAACAGCTGTTACACACAAAGCTTCATTAAAAGCTTAATGAAGCTGTTCAGCCTCATAAGTTTACCAGGAATGGCAAACTTTCCTTTTTGATTTGTCTAATGTATGCAGAAATAGAAAATGTCATTTCACAATGTTTTTTTTTTTTTTTTTTTAGTGATGGCAAAGCTCAGTTCTTTCTAGCCTTTTTAATGTGAAGAAATCTTCAAATGATCTAACAAAAGACTCCTGTTTAATGGTTTTGAAGAATGGTTTAACTCAGCACTTGGACAGTTGAAGAAAAATGTAAACTGGGCAAATCTGGCATAGAAATAGCTCCAGCAGATATGAAACTTTGCATTGCTTTTTTATTGTTATTTTGCAGAGTAGAACATGTATTAACTATTTTGTTTGCATCTTGCATTGTTTTCATAATGTCTGTTTTTTATAGAATTACTTTGATACTTGCCTACAATCATCAGCAAGAGTATTGGTTAGCTCATGTGCAACTGCATTTTACCCTTTATCTGTCATCCACAGTCCACATAATTAGACAGCAGCTGAATTACTTACCTAATCACTTATAACAGAATTTTTAATATGTTTTCTTTAACAGAAATTAAAGAAGCACATAAAAGGAAGAAAATAATGAGAGAGCGTTTCAAGCAAGAAGACAATATTGCTAGTGCTATGGTGATTTGGGTCAATGAAATACTACCTAACTGGGAAGGCATGTAAGTGCAATTTTGTTTTATAAATCCAGCAAGCGTAGCTTCTCTCTCCTCTGGAAACAGAGGACCCACATACCTTGTTTTTCTTTCCATTTGTTTTGTGAAGTCAGTTTTTGTTGCTGTTGTTATAGTGCAAGGCCATTACAGAGCAATGTGAAATGTGCTTTTGGGAGCTCAGTGTTGTGAGCTTTTGGTTTTTGTTTTTTAGTTGCACTTTAAGATAAGCAGTGATCACTGAATTTTTATTTGGGAAGTAGCATGTTGTTTTTCTTTGAAGTTGCTCAGTAATTTCAGAAAACAAGATGTGTAAAATGCCTGCTTTTCTTCCCTGCCTCCCTGTTTTAGGCGTGCTACCCGGAGAGTTCGAGAGCTGTGGTGGCAGGGATTACCACCAAGTGTTCGTGGGAAGGTGTGGAGTCTAGCAGTGGGAAATGAGTTAAATATCACTCCTGGTATGCCTTAACGTATTATATTTTAGTGCAAAATACAGTTGGTAATTTTCAATTGAAATTTAGGATTTCTTTGCATAGAGCTAGGTGTATATTTTACAATTAGACAATCATAACCTGGTAAGTTATGGAAATGGAATTAAAAACTTTTAAAAATGTTTTTGTCGTTTAAAAGAACTGGGGGAGAATTGTTTGGTTCATAACTAATGGTTTTGATGAACTGGAAGTGTTCCAAGCCATTCACAGAGTAAAAATCTGGATGGTTTGAAACGTGATTTTCTTCCTGTAATTTGAATATTCACCACAGAAAGAGGCATAAACTTTGTGTGGTGGTATTCCAATGGCTAGCTGTACCCATTCAGTAGGAATCCACCTCTCACTCTCCCCACCCCTCAGTGGTAAGAAACAAGCAAGAAAAACAAAGCCAAGTATACATAGCATGGAGACTTTTCTTATCTCATTGATTTGTTTTTACTTGCAGAACTCTATGAAATCTTCTTATCTAGAGCTAAAGAACGATGGAAAAGCTTCAGTGAAACAAATTCTGAGAATGATGTAGAAGGTAAGACCTTCAGAACGCTAAACAGATTTTTTTTATTTTTACCAACACACAGTTTCACTAGTTTGTATGCAATTGCAGCATTAGGAACACTTGCTAAAATATGAATCAAATCTGAGTCATTTCCTACTTGTTTTTGTGTCGCGTTGCATTCGTAAAAAATTTAGATGAAATACAAAAAGAAGAGAACTCAAGGCCCAGTCAAAACTATTTTGGAAGTTCTGGAGTAAATGCTGCCACCTTTGCTGTGATGTAAAGAATGCCAGCCCTGGGATACAGAAAATTTGAGTCGTATGAAAGCTAACGAGGGCTCAGAAGGAATGTAACTTCTGCAGCTCCTAACCAGTCAATTTTTGAAAACTTTAGTGAAATCTCCATGCATTTTGTTACCCTTAGCTTTATATATAAAACAGAGTTTTTCCTTAGATCCTGAAAGACTTTATATGCATATGGCAGTTTTAGTCTGAAGCCTGTAGAAATATTTTATCACTTTCAATGACTTCTGGTTTTCCTTGCAGATGTTAGTGCATCTGTTGCTGATCGTGAGGCCAGCCTGGAGCTAATTAAGTTGGATATATCACGCACATTTCCATCCCTGTATATTTTCCAGAAGGTGAGAGTTCTGTAACTTCAGCTATACCTTTAAACATCTGAGTAATTAAACAAGAAGAGTAACCTAGCTAGCAAGTATGGAAAAGTTTTCAGAAGCTCTTGGTGTAAAACTACAAAAGTAAAATTAGTTGGTCCTTTTCTACATACAACAGTAAAGAGTCATGCCTTCTCTGATTAGATTAAATTAGGATGCTTACTGTGTTAAAGTGGTTTGTAAGTGCTTGTAAGTGAAGACTAATAAGGCTTTTTCTCCTGGAAAAATTGCATGCAGTTACTGTTGAGTGAAATTACTTGTATGCCAATCTATGAATATTCTCATGGCTTCTACAGAAATCCAGATGCATTTTAGTGCACATTTTCAGGTTTTAGAATTTTTATACAGAGATGTGCATGCAAGAATGTATGAAATAATTTTTGCATTTTTGTATTATGGTAATTTGTGTTACCAAGAATTAACATGTCCAGTATCTCAAAAGGAAAAGCCAACCCTGCTTGTCCTCATTTTCTGTTATGTACATATTGAATTATCAGTTTGCTACTTCTCCCTTAGCATCTCAAAACCATACAAGGAAATGTGTAGGGTAAAAACTGATGGTGTTCTACATGTGAACAAAGCAATAAATCACAGACTTGCTTGTACCTTTCCATACTGTATATACCTACATATATTTATAAACTGGCTTTGAAAAGCTCTTTTTCCCTTCTCTCTTCTCGAATTAGGGTGGTCCCTATCATGATCTCCTGCATAGTGTTTTAGGAGCATATACATGTTACAGACCAGATGTGGGATATGTAAGTATTCTGAAATGTTTATAGCTCAGCAGATGTGCTTAAAATATTTGCCTGTTAGATAAGTAGATCCTCTAAACTTCATGTTACTAGAACCTCAAAACAATTTAAACCTTGGCACTTACTCATTTGATCGTAGTTATGGTAATTCTAAGGGTTAATAAAATAGCTAAAAATGTATTGATATTACAGATGAGAATACTGTTTGATTCACGCAAGGAACTGTTTTTAAACTGATATTTTCACAAGGCATTCTAACTTTGACAGAGTATCTACAAAAAAACCTGCAAACAGCCTTCCAGGAAGAGCTCAGCCTGTTCTATCCCAGTGTTGTTCCCACTGCTGCCATTTTCATAGTAATGCCCTATGATTTAGTAGGTCACATCTTTAAAATCCAGCAACTCCATATTGGTTTTTCTGCCAAAGGCTAATTGCTCCATCGGAGTTTAGTGAGGATAAGATTGTTTGCAGGAAGAACTTAAATATTTAAAAAATAATGATAATAAAATAATAAATCATATCAGCCTACGAAGGCAGCTAAATAACAAATGCTATTCTTGCTTTTAGCCCTGGAGGGATCCTAGGAATGCTTTTCACAAGTTGTAATTGCTTTTGAGCTAAAGAATTTGAGACTGATCTATGCAACAGCATGTTATTTAGCCCAGGGTGTGTTTTCCTCTCTGTCAGATATGCTTACTACTCTGCATCAGTATCTAGCTGGCTTTTCATGTTTAAATTTTTTAAATTCTGTCATCTGTGAAATCATTTTTGGAGACCATAATCTTTAATTGAGATTACAGACTGCAGATTCTGAGACCGCTTGTTCCAGGGTGGAGTTTTAAAGGGCAAAGAAATAATTTTTCATGGATGGGTCTTCGCTTTCTCCCCAGGAAAAGATAATACAACTGCAGCTAGTGTGAATGCTTATGGTCACACCTTTTTAATGCTAATGTGGCAGTAAGTTTAGTCTTATTTCTGTGCCCATCCATATCACAAAAAATGGAAAGTTGCTGGATTGTTTCTGATGCATAGCAGTACTTCCCTAGATGGTTAAAATATTAAATGCATTTTTAGAATGAGGAGCAGGCAGCATAAATGCCTAGAAACAGCAGAGTTATCATAATTGCAGCTGAAATTGGTAAAATTATTTTTAGTATAATAAATATTCAGATTATCACTTAACAACTACATGAATGATAGTCTCCACTTACTGCAGACTGAAGTGGTTTTTTTTTTCTTGTTGTTTTTTGTTTTTAAATAATCACAAAAATGTAAAAACTTATAGCTGACCACTTGAAAGTAGTTTTATGTATGTGAACAAATACTGTTTGGCAACTGGGAAGATACATATTGACTGTTCTAAAACAGAATTTTGTCTCAAATCCAAGTTATCTGCCTGGGTCTAAACTGTCCCATATGTGAGATTTTTCCTCATGTCTGCTTTTCTCACAGCTTAACAATGAACTTAAAGCCAAGTTGTGTCTTGTTTCCAGCCTGTGTGGTTTTCATTTTCTTGCATTCCAGGTTCTGGGAGGTTTCATGATTACAAGTCAGGGAACTTCTGTCATGCATCTGAAGAAACATTCATGTTGAAATCTAATTAGCTGCATGTATAGAAATTATTTATCCTTGTTGCTTTTGCTCATCTGGAAATTATGTTTAATGGTGTTTGATGTACTGCAGGCTGTAAAATATTTGCGTAAGATGTACTGAGCTTACTCACCTATGTTTGCTCGATGCTTTTCCCACTTGAAGGTACAAGGGATGTCCTTCATTGCTGCTGTGCTCATTCTCAATCTGGAAGAGGCAGATGCTTTCATTGCCTTTGCTAACCTTCTAAACAAGCCATGCCAGCTGGCCTTTTTCCGTGTGGATCACAGCATGGTATGCACATAGTTTTCTGGTTTTGAACCTTAGCATACTTTTGACTTGAAGCATATTTGACTTGTTGATGACTTCTTGTTGTCCTCTTGAATAAAGGAGAACTCTAACCTGTGGTTACAGAATTGAGAATACCAGATACTGATCCATACAACACGTTCTCCTGTTTTGACTTTTCCTCTAGAAACACTTGTTTTCCCTATCCCAGGAAGTCACACTGTGCTGTGTTGAGATCCTCAAGCCTTGGTGGGATTTATTTTATGACCCTTTCTTTTAATGACTGTTTATGAAGTGCTTTACTGTTTTTGCAGATGCTGAAGTACTTTGCAGCCTTTGAAGTATTCTTTGAAGAAAATCTTCCCAAATTGTTTCTTCATTTCAAATCATACAGTCTCACTCCAGACATATATTTGATAGACTGGTGAGTTCAGAGAACAGAGCAAACCTAATGTGAAAGTGCTGGAACACTTTATATTTTGCTAATTTGGGCTTTTACTCACCTGTCAGATCTGAGTCAGTTATGCATAACATGAGTAGGGGAGAGAAGGCTACTACATTGTATTTGTTTATGACTGACTGTAAATGACAAAAAATGATAAAATGAACAAAATCAGCTGCTGAAGAAAGTAAGAGGAGTATATTCTTGAAAGTAAAGGGTGGATGAAATACAGCATGTAGTACAGGAAAGGGTAAACTTGGAAATATAGCGAGCATTTTGAATATTTGAAATATTGAATATTTGAAAGTACCAAACTATTTTGTCTGTAATGGAAGCCAGTAGTGCAGGCATCTTTCAAGTGTGTGTAGTGCTGCCAAATATTGAATGTCTCTTCCAAAGAGCCTGTAAAGTGTCTATTCATATATTTTTATTATATGGGTTATAATTTCCTAATAGTGTTAATTGAATTAGATGGAATTAAATAATACAGAAATGACACGTAATCCAAATACTTGGGAATGAAGAACTTCTGCTGTCTTCTGTTGTAGGATGTGGCTTTGCAATAAGTGGGAAGTCTTAGCAGGAGCTCAGATTATACAATAGCAGCACTGAGACAGGAGTGTGCAGCCCAGAGTTTATACAGATGTGTTATGCAAGTAGTGCTGCTGTATTAAGTCCTAGAATACTCTGCTTCAGATTATTTGTGAGAAATGAAGGCTTATTCCTGCATGTGTTTCGAAGATGGCCTTGAGATATTAAGAGCCCCTCTCATGAAGGGAAAGTAGAAGTGATAGCTATTGGTAGGGAGTGTTCCATGGTTCCTGAAGCACTTTCCACAATAAATAATGGCAAAATGGAATACTGTGCTTTATATCAAAGGGACCAAGACAAACTTCAGTGATGTTTTACAGCAGACTGAATTCTCTGCCTGTATATTATGAATGCTTTCTTGAAACTGATTTCTTAATATCAACCACAATTGGACTTTGTCTTTTAATAGCAAAACACCAACTAGATTTTTCTGATCTTTAACATAATTATAAATTCTAAATATAGTTACTGGATTTTCAGTGCAATATATTTGTAGCAGTGGGATGTAGCATTCTGCTTGAGGTACTTACAGCTTTAGATTTATTTCAAAATCAAATGATAAACAGAGCTGCTAGACTGCATTGTTTAAATAATGGGAAGGGTTATGTTCTACGCTTTTGAGCGTTGTGGCTTAAGTTCATATTTGTATACAACACCCTTTTGAGTGTAAAGATGTTTGTAACTTCTCCTTCCTAAAGGAGGTTGTTTTCAAATAGAGGATTTCTTGTAGCATGGAAAGAGATCAGTTTTGGGATAGCAATTCTGAATTGAGAACATGGTAACTTTTGTGTTTGTGAAATACAGACAAGCAGGAATGCTTGAAGTAAGTGCTCTCTTAGCTAATTTAGCTGAGATTTAAAGGAGGTTGTACTTTCATGTTTCCAAGTAGCTTAAGTTATAACTGTGCCTTTTTTCTCACTTGCAGGATTTTTACGCTCTACAGCAAGTCATTGCCACTTGATCTGGCCTGTCGTGTCTGGGATGTTTTCTGTAGAGATGGGGAAGAATTTTTGTTTAGGACGGGGTTAGGAATCCTTCGGTTATATGAAGATATTCTCCTACAGATGGACTTTATTCATATAGCACAGTTTCTAACAAAACTTCCAGAAGATATTACATCAGAAAAACTTTTTAGTTGTATTGCAGCTATTCAGATGCAGAATAGTAACAAAAAATGGGCACAGGTGAGCTTGATGTACGTGTGGGCATGAGTGTGTTTTTATATGAACATACATGAGGCACTTCTTTTAGAGGCTGTGCTACTTGCCTGACTTCTAAGCGATAGGTAACGCTACTCATGTGACATTTAGTTTTTAGACTTGTCTCTGGTGGGAGATGCATCTTGGTTGTGTATTCAAAGAGAATCTCAGTTTTTGTCATTGAGATGGCTACTTTTTTCCCTCTTCTTGGAAAACAAATTCAGCACTGAATATTAATTAGGGGAGCAATAAAATAGTAGTTAAAGAATCCGTAGCTTTTAGTACAAAATGCTATGCCGTAGGAAGATGAACATGTAAACCAAATTCTATTTGAAATTGACTCAATATAGTCTGTTAGTCTAAAGTGAATTGTAATAAGACCCAATTGAACAAAAAAGAAAGAAAAAATCTCTACAAACAGCTTTGTAGTGGGGCCTTAAAAGTAACTCTCCACCTTCCATTACCTGTATGGGGATTCCTCCTAGTTCCTGTATGACAAATAATTGGAATTGCTGCTGCTGGAACCTACAGCTAAGTACAAGGGTGAAGTAGTCAGGTTTGGCAGAAAAGCTGGCTTGTGTTCTTGGCTCAACTCCTAATGTCAGCTGAGATGCAAGGAATAGCTGGAAAGTAAAAGAGGACTTGGGAATTGTTTACCTCGTATCTTCCCATATCCATGAGATCGGTTTTTTCCTGATTTTTCCTAAGATGTTGGAAAAAACTCTTTAGACCTTGTAAGTATTTAGACTTTCTAAGTACTTAGTATTTAGGGTAATTAACTCTTGCCTTTGTAGTGTCTCATATTAGAAAGTTATTTCCATGCTAATATTGTTGTGGTTAATTTTTTTGTAGGACTAACTTTTCTATATTTATTAAATGTGTTTCCAGGTGTTTGCCTCGCTTATGAAGGACAACAAAGAAGGGGACAAGAACCACAGCCCAGCACTGAAAAGCTAATCATTGTAACGTTGAGGTCAATTGAAAATGTGGAAAACCACTTGATGACGAAGGACTTCTCACATCACTTCTATGTGGAAAATCACTGTAGAAAGTGTGAAAAGTGAGAGAAAAATGATACAGCTCTCAGTGGAGTAATGAACTGATGAAATCTTCGCCCTTTTGTCAGTATTAGCTTTTTTGATGGGAAGATTTGTTTTCACATAGAATACTAAAACCTATGAGACTGAGAAGTAGGGGAGTTCATATTTAATACTTTAAAAGAATCAGCTCAATGCAATAAACATTTCTAGTAACTTCTGTTGGTACTTTAAAAAAAACAATTTTTGAGGCATAACTTTTTTTTACAAATACCACAAAGGCACTTTTTTGGGGGGACGAGGGAAATGCTGAATCTGAAAGGCTCCAAAACTGCTATCCAAACCAAATGCTTTGGTACAAATATTACCTCCAAAATGAACCATTTAAAAGTATTAAGGACCAAATAAGGTTGTTTGGTATGTTTATGTGCAAGATGGTTACGATTTTGAGAAGGGGTATTGTCTTACTTACTTGTTTTGTTTTTTTTTTTTTTTTAAGTTGCAGCTTCATTCTTCAGTCTGGGCAAATGTAATTAACTCAGGAACCGTAGAAGTATTGTGCCCAAGCCTGTTAGAGCAAAAATCACGCAAACTTTAAACAGTGGTAAGACCAGGGCTATTATTTTCAGATGTACGGCTTTCAAAATGAGTGGTGTTAAGCATTTGTTTTGGTGTACTGGTTGTGCAGCTTCTTAAAAATGGGGTGGGTATTCTGTGAAAGGGTTTTGCCACCAGCAGTTTTATTTTGTTGAGCCATTGTTAGTTAAGATACACTAGTATGTAATGGTAAACACTACAAGCTGATGAACTATCTGCAGAATTTGTGTTGGTTTTTAACACTTGAGAGTCATGGAGACACTTCAGAATAATGCAGAGTATTTCTTGAAACTCTCTTATTAGCGTGCAATACTGAAAGCTGAAAGGCATATGGTTTAGAGATTCTTAATTCTTTAACATCGCTTAGCTGTGAGAAATGAGGTCATGCTGTACGTGTCACAGTGGCTGTTTTCAATGCTTTCTACTCTTGAAGATACTGTACAACAACTTCATGTTTGTGGGGGTTAGAAATATAAAATGGATAGCACTGCAGGTGAGGAGCACTTGCACTCTTTGGTCCATTTTTTGCTAATATTTACTGTAAATAAATTCCTTACATGTGGGTTTTTGTAACTGGTCCCTCTGTGGAAATCAAGTCCAAATTACCATTATTATGTATTTTTAAGTGCGGGAGGCTCTCGGTTGTCTGGTGTTTAAAGCAGAGTCTGCATAATTGGGGTGAAGATTTAGTGTGGTGTAATTACATTGCTATCTGGTTTAAAACTACGTATATACTATTCATAACATTACAATTTGAAATCTAAATGTCAGATTTTTTCTTAACTTATGTATTCACTACTTTAATCGGATCCAATTTGTCTTATATTTTTGCGTTATCTTGTACAGTTTTCTTACTTTTCAAGTATAAATCTGTATATAACTGTAAATAGAAGGGACGAAGCCTTCCTTTAAGACCACTAGTAACAATTCCTGTGTAAATAAAACTTACAGCAGAAATGCAGCCTAGTGTGTCTGGAGTGTATTTTTGTTGCAAAGCAAACCGCCCCCCTCCCTTACTGCGCGGTAAGGCTGCAGCACGGCAGCCCTAATCGCTACGCGTCCGCTCATTGGGCCTTTCTTCAGATTGTCCCCCGCGCCGCTAGGGGGCGCTGTGGGTGCGAGCGATAGGAGCCGGCCCCGTTCCGGCACAGCGCTTCCGCCGCCGGAGCAGCGCTCGTGGGCCGCCGCCATGAAGCCGGTAGGGCTCTGCGGGGCGGAGGCGCGGTGTTGGGGCTGTCTTCTCGCGCGGGCCCGGCCCGCCGTCGAGCCGTGGGGGTTCGTAGCGTGCTGTAGGAAGCGGCGGAGCGTTGTAGGGCTGCGGCACGGCAGCGCGACTGGAGCAGGCGGCGCGGCAGCTCGTTCAGCTCCGGCTGCCCTGTGAGAGCCACGCGCGGCTCTGAGGTGACTTTCTGCCTTCCTTTCTATCCCGACCCCCCGGCGCTGTGGCCTTTTTGGTATTGGGCCCGCGCCGATGGGTGCGCGTGATTTCCCGTGGCACCTGTCGGCCTGCACAGCTGCCGTGCCCAGCTTCGTGCTGCTCAGGGACGCGCGCCCGGCCCGTAGCCTCGAAGCAGAACCTCCGTGTGCAGCTGTGCCTGGGGCAGAGCGTGCAAATGGAGGCGGGCCGAGGGAGTGTGCTCGGGCGGGCTGCGTGACGTGCCGGGCTATGAGGGTGCTTTCTGCGGCTGAAAACTGGTCGGTGTAGGGTTTGGTAATTGTCGGTTTCTGTAAAGCGTTCTTCACGTCTCTTATCGATTTAATGCTTTGGAGTGAGTTTGGAGCACACTGATGCTTTGGTTGGCTTGGAGAAGAAGGGCTCTGGGGAGACCTCGATGCGTCCTTCCTGTACTTGAAGGGAAATTATAGACAGGAGGGGGTGCGACTTTGTATGTGGCCTGTAGTCCCCAGGGGGGTGGCCTTGGACTAAAAGAGGGGGGTGTTAGGGGAAAATTCTGTACTCAGAGGGAGCTGAGGCTATGGCACTGCTGGCCAGAGCTGTGGGTGCCCCATCCCTGGAGGCTCTCAGGGCTGGGTTGGATGGGGCTCTGGACCCTCATGTGGTGGGAGGCACCAGCTCCTGGGAGAGGGTTGGAGCACTATTGAGGTCTCTTTCATCCCAAGCCGCTTTATGGTTCTTCTGATACATTCAGATAAACAAGATTAACCCAAGTGTTGGGTCCTGCACTTTAGTCACAACAACCCAAGGCAACCCTACATGGCTGGGGAGGAGTGGCTAGAAAGCTGTCTGACGGAAAGGGACCTTGATATACTGATGGACAGCCAGCTGCATATGAGCCAGCAGTGTGCCCAGGTGGGCAGGACGGCCAATTGCATCCTGGCTTGTATCAAGAATGGTGTGGTGAGCAGGACTAGGAAAGTAATCCTGCCTCTGAGCTCAGCACTGGTAAGGCCTCATCTCAAGTACTGTGTTCAGTTTTGGGCTTCTCAGTACAGAAAAGATGTGGAGGTGCTGGAGCAGATCTAAAGAAGGGCAACAAGGCTTGTGAAGGGCTTGAAGAGTATGCCCTATGAGGGGAGACAGAAGGAACTGGGGCTATTCAATCTGGAGAAAAAGAGGCTGAGGGGAGACCTTCAAATATCTGGAAGGTCATTGCAGCAAGGGCAGGGTTGGTCTCTTCTCACTGGTGACAGGTGTCAGGACGAGGGAAAATGATGTCAAGTTGCACTAGGTTAAGCTTAGGTTGGATATCAGGAAACGCTTCTTTACAGGAAGGGTTGTTAAGCACTGGAATAGGCTCTCCAGGGAGGTGGTTGAGTTTAAACACATCCCTGGATGTGTTTAAAAACCATTTGGGTGCAGTGCTCAGGGACATGATTTAGCGGAGGGTTGTTAGAGTTAGGGTAGTATGGTTAGATTGTGGTTGGACTTGATGATCTTTAAGGTCTTTTCCAACCTGAGCAATTCTATAATTCTGCGATTCTAAGTTGTTCAGAGCTGATAGAAGTACAGACTGAATGAGATGGCAGCCAACAAAAATAAGTTTAATGAAGGGTTTGAACGTGTCAGTTACGTGGAATTTTCAATTTGTTCCCCAGAGAAAAAACACAAAGCGCGTCCCAAGCTTTCGCAAGTTACTGAGAACTAGTAAAATAAAACTTGACAACAAATTAAAGAATAAACAGTACAAACAGCAGAGTGCTGCTAAGAAGTATCGGAAAGAACAAAAGAAGCTAAGGCAGGCTGTCAGAGATGCTGTCTGTAAAAAACCTTTTCCTCTGGAGGATTACAAGAAGAAACATGTTGGTAAGTGCTTGCTCAATGCTGTTTTTTCATAGAAAAGATACAACTGTTACTAATGTTCTGCTGTTCTACATTATAAAATTTTGTTTCAAGAAAACAACATTTCATTTACTGTGCACAGATAAGCACTTTTTTTTTTTTGTGAAAGAAAGAAAGGGAAGTTATGAAAAATGGAAAATGCAACCATTCTGGCTACAGGGTCTGACAGATGGAGGTGGTAGAGATGTGCTTGCTCTAATTGTTATAGACTGTCATAATAAAGGGGTCATTTTCTGGGTTAATGTAAACATGTGCTTGAAGGTTGATGAGAACAAAGTTGAAGTAAGGTGTCTCAGGTGTAGGCAGCATTAGGTTTATAAGTGTGAGTGTATGTACAGCATCTTAATTTGTGCACGTTATCTCTGAAATAGCTGAAAAACGGGAGGAAGAAGAGGAAGATGAAGCGCTTCCACTGGACATGATGGATGAAGATGATTTGAAGTTAATGGAAGATTTGGCTCGGAAAGCATCATTTTTAACCAGGGATATTTCTTCTAAGTGAGTTTTGTGATGTCTATTTTTTGTAGTATTTAAGTTTTGTTTGGCTTACGTGCAATGTAATACATTTGTCACAAGGTCCCTTTCAGTCTGGTGTTTCTTTGCAGTTCCAGTTTCGTGTTTCCTTAGTCTGTTGGTACATCCAGCATTAATGTAGCAATGTATGTCAGATCATTCATGGGCTCTGCTGCCCTTCATGATACTGTTTCTGCATTGTTCACTCCTGTGAGGTCCATGACTGTGAGATGAGTAGCATTCCTCAAACTAAATAAAATGACAACCTGTACACGAGGGTCCCATTGGGCTTGCATGCTGGTATAGTCCCTGATGGCAGATCTGCTCAGGGTGAAGTTTTCAGTATGCCAGGGCAGCTGCACATGTAGTGGTAAAAGGAGAGAGCAGTCTGGTCTAGGTGAGAGAGAGGCTGTGCTGAGATCCCAGTAGTTTCTGTTTTTCATCTCTCTATATTTTATGTATCTTTTTCAAATTTGTTAAGATTTGAGGACAGAAATTATGCTTCCAAAGGATGTTTACCTTACAAACTTCATGTGATTTGTTCATTGTTGTCTTACTTTGAAGGGCCCCTGAGGATGTTACTGCTTCATGAAGTGCAGCAGCTAGCACTGTGGTTTCCAGATGGCCCTATTGACTCAGACTTGTGAATAACAGCTGTATTTTCTTCATGCTCAGCAGCCAGTTACAGCTGTTGAGGTCCGGTGCATGTTGAGTAGGATTTGAGCACATAGGAAAGGTTTGATCTACACAGGGACGTTGAGGCAGTCTGGTGCTGATCTTGCAGTGTTTCTAAGGTGGCTGTGTGATATGTAATATGACTCTACCAGTGGTCTTCCTTGCTGAAGCCTACCAGTCTCTGAACACATGGCTTTTGGAGTCCATTACAGATCTGTAGTTGAAGTTCTGTCACTTACAAAATCAAAAGCAGTGTTTCTACTGAAAAAAGACTGTGCTGCTCCCTTCAAAAGGTGATTCATCATCCCTGGCTTTTAGTTTATGAATAAGATGAAGAGATAACATACCTTGTAGTTATGCCTGTACTACAGGAGAGTACAACTTTTAACTGTTTTTAGGTAAATGTTGCATGCATATGTTTAGACTCATATAAATATTTCAGTATTCACCAAACAAAGTGGCTGACCTGCCAGGCTAAGTAAGTCTTATCTTGTCTTTGCTCATATCACATTTTAATTTCCTCTAAAAAAGAGATGGGAAGTGCTACGTTGTCATGAATTCAAAAATCCCATATAGATCTGCATTAACATTGTCTCAGTGAGTGGTGACTGGTGCTATCACAGTGAATACACTTCAGCATTGATCAGCTGTCATTTGTTTTTCTAAGTGTGAACACCTAATCCAGCTAGTATACTGTCATACACGGTTCATGTCTAATTAGATGGTTAACTGATTTTGTTTGCCTTGTGTTTTATCAGTGAACCTGTTCACATCAAGAAACGAAAACGTGAGAGTGTGATTGCAAAATATGAGAAGATACCAAGACATGTAAACACTGAACCAGAGAAAGAGCTCATCCATCTACTCCCTATCAAAGACAAAGGTGGCATTATTCCCCAAACCATGGAAAAGCCAGGTAAGGCACAGATTTTTCAATCAGAATAGCATCCAACATGTGTATAACTTGTTCTTTCAGAATTTCTCAGTGTTTATTGCAGGCTTGACTCTGGGCTGTTTTTGCAGTTCCTGATGTTGCTGAGGATGAAGAAGAAGATACGGAAGAAATGGAGGTAGCAGAAGGTAATAAAGCATCATGTTTATTTATTTCTCTTTTTCCAAATAGCTGATGGATTTGAGGAATCCATTGCTGTTCTGTAAGGATGTTTGTCATTTATTTTTTTTTAGGGTGTGTGTTACCATTTTACCCAAAAAGCATAACAGTGAATTAGAGTTTACTTTCTTCTGTATTAGGATTCTAGGACCTTTGGGAACAGATTTCCACAGCTGGCTTCAAAATCGTTCCTTCTTTAAGACATAGAAAATGCAAATATATCAACTGTATTTTTGAAAGAAAAAGTGATTGGTGAAAAATTGGCTGCAAATTGTAGGGCTCCTCAATTTCTTGGCACAGCTGGGGTCATATGTTGACTTTATATGTTATCACTGTGCTTGGGGAAAAGTATTTGAAGATT